GGGGGGGAGGGGGGAGGATGTTTTTCTTCCTTAAGAAAATGAACCTCAGATGGCTTCATGTGTAGCTTTCATACTGGATTTACTGCCTCCAGCAGTAAATGCTTCCATAATTACTTATTTGTCCAACTGTTAATGTCTGTATACTCATTTGAAAAGAATAGAATCTGCGCATAGGTGAATAACTCCGTCAAAAACACCTGAAAGTACTGCTGAAGAATTGTAAAACTTGATCAATACTGCATATGTGTCCACACAAAAACCTAGTTTATCGGGCTTATTTTGTTAAGCCAATAACATTTGTTAATGTACTGAGTTTGTTAAATGCTGAGTCTTCCTTTGTCTCCTAAAATCCATGAAGTTGATTACAAAAACAATACAGATAACAAATTAAATAATCTGTCCTAACTCACTGTCAGGAAATGGCAGAAAATTTTGTAAATGGACAAAGTTGCATAAAAGCTGGAGATCTGCTAGTGTGTAGTCTTGGGGACTACTTGATTTCCTTATCAAAACCATGACAGAATTTTCCAGTTGTATGGGGGAAAGGGGTGGGGTTGAGAACCAGAACATAAAACCAATCATGGATTTAAGTTTTAAATTATAGGCAAATAAAAAATCTAACAATGAAATAACACTCTGTTGCATGTAAGAAATACAAAAATGCAAACCTAACCCATCCTGAAACAGACTGTCGTAAACTAGGTCATTACAATATTTTATCCTGGCACTGTGAAGGGATACTAGTAACCAGTTCCTGTCTACTATACTTTAGCTCCAAGCTTAGAAATACTTAGTGTAAGAAAGCCAACCAAACTAAAAAACTAAGCAAAAAGTTTCCATGTGACTAGCTGATTATTTTAAAGAAGTTTTGTTAGGTGCATTAAAAGACTAACTTGTGATGGTAAGGATTTTTTGCCCCCTCTTTAGAAGCTCTTGACAGATTTTGCTGTTGATCATTCAGTAAAGGTGGCCACATTGTTACAGAAATATTAACATTTACTAGCTAATTATATCTTATTTTTACCCTGCCTTCATCATGCTGCTTACATGGTTATATGACTGCTTACAGGCACAGTTGAGTATGCTGACATGACATTCATGCAGCAAGAGAAAACACATCTAAAACTATCTTGAACTTCCAGTGCTTGCTTGATGTTTTCTTTTTCTACCTGGTGTCTAGCAAAAATCTAGGTAATAAAAACTTTCACTAAGCAATACAGTTCTGAATAATTTAAGAGCTACATTGAGGACACCGGGTTAAGTATTTTAAGAGCCTCCCTCCAGGAAGAAATTACTGCTTATGGTTCCTCTCTAAGTGTATTTCATGTTATTTAAGCTAACAGCTCTTTTTTTATTGTCATACCTACTTACAGTAAGGTAAATGTTGCTCCAGACGTGGTTTGTTTTTTCTCCTCCAACAAATGATTCTAAAATGCCTCAAAACTACCTTATGTGAAGTATTGAATACACTTGCATTTTAATCCTGGACCTGCCCTAGTTTTTTTTAATAGTTTGGGGTTTGGGGTTTTTTTGCGGCATATCTTTGATTCAGCAGTTCAGCAGTTTAGAACTCTAATGTTAGTCCTAATCCTACTTTGAGGCAAGTGTAGTTTTAAATTGAAATTAGTTGGCATGCCAAGAAATGGCATAGGAGAACAACTATTAGAGCTTCAGGACTGCTAAAGCTTCACCTAATAAAGCAGTGGAACTTTGAAGAATAATTCATAACTCTGTTTCAGAAAATATGTTGATCAAGGTATTAATCCTTGATTTTGTTTTAATTGAAACAATAGGTCAGCTTCTCCTTATCATGGTTTTACGATAGTGAATCGACTGAACATGCACAACCTGGTTGAACCAGTAAATAAAGATTTGGAATTTCAGCTCCATGAACCTTTTCTTCTCTACAGAAATGCTAGCTGTGAGTATAACTTTCTTTAATCCATATAAAGTTCATGTTCTGTTTTATAACCTAACTTCTGATTACTGTGATGTCTGTTTCAAGTATAATGTAATGGAGCAGGTTCAATGAAATGTCTGATGATGTTTTCTGTCTACAGTGCTAGATTTACTTAAATAGCAGTGATAATATAATATGATGACCACCTGCTTTCAATAAAAAGAAGATACACTAACAAAGTTCAATATTGCTATATTCTTTTTAATTAATGATCTGATAGGTTTAATCTAAACATATACACAGTGCTATAGCATTAATAAAAAAAACTATGGAAGAATAATGAAAACTGATAGATTTTGAAAGTATTTAACATCAAGAACAGTTCTAAGGGCTTCCTCTTTTGCAAGCGAAAAATTAAATATTAATCAGTAGCTGCTTGAAGAAGTTGAGAAAATTACTCAGCTCTCGGTTGAAGGTTTCTTTCTCCACAATAGGTTTTGGACTCAGGAGATAGATGTCTATACTAAATTTCCTGGAGTCTAGACTCCAGCAAGACTGGGTGTTGGGATAATCGTTACACAGATGAGCAGTAAAATAGTAGTCAGTATCTTGGTGCTTTTTGAATTCTAGTAGTGTTTTGAGTCATCAGTTGAGCTTCAGAGTCCCAGTGTACAGTGTTCCAGTTAGGTACACGCTAAAAATCCTGTTACTCCAAGGAGCTCAAAGTATAAGTTATGTAGCCCTTAAAGAGTGGAAGAGGAAGTGTATGTGTATATGAAATTCATGTTAGGTTTAAGTAGATAAATAAAAGGCACCCCACAGAGCAGAGGGTCCTCCTGATGCAAAGGTTTCATTTCATGTCGTCTTTTCTAGGCAAAGTTCTTGAAACTAGTTTGCTGCTGTCTAGTGACAGGTTCCTCTTACTGAATGACTCAGAGAAGCTGTATGCTGTCTGGATACAGTAGTTCCTCAACACCATGTCTTCTTTCTATTGGAATGTCCCCTTGAATTACAGATAGGAACACTGCTTTGGCTGTGCTTCAGTGTACCTAGAAGAACAGTCAAATGTTAATGCCTTCCCGATTCCCCCTTGGAAAGCCTCTAGCATCTGTGGGGAGTAGGATAGATTCCATTATGGTGACAAAGAACAGCTTAAGGTAGGTGGTCTCCTCTGTTTAATAGTCTTAGCAATCCTCCTTCTCCAAGTGTCATAGCGAGGAAAAAGTCAAAACTTGTCAGTAAATTGAAAAGTTTAGGAGATAAGGGAAGTAGATGACTGGCAAGGAATTGGGAGGGGAAACATTGAGTTGGATGTTTAAGCAGGTTGCTTGGTTTGGAAGGAAGAGGAGCTGTAGAGATGGTGGTAGGGCTAGGATGGCTGATGAGGTAGCACTAGAGGAAAGAATTGCAATTGTGAGACTGGTGACATAACAGAAGCAGGAAGTTGATTCATTTGTTGGAACTGCTGATGGTATCAGGAAGCAGGAGCTGCTGTGGAATTACCGTGGTGTATGGTAGTGGGCGTGACTAGAGGATCACCTAAAGGAAGCATTCATAGAAGGTAGGCTGTATGTGAGTTCATTAGAAACCCCTAAAGCTAATTATATGCCTCTCATTGATAAAAGCCCTCCTTTTCTTATGGGACACTATTGTGTAAGATCTGTGGGAGGCTCATGGGAGTTAGGATAGAGATGACATAGAAAAGTACGAGGAAGGAAGAAATTCATACAAAGGTGAGCAAGGAAAATACTATCAACTGGATATGGGAAATAATTGTATTCTGAAGTAATTAAGAGTTTTTTTTTTTTTTTCCTCTTATATCTTTCCCATTGTAATTTTAAAAGACTTTGGTTGGAAACTATGCTTTTGTTTCATCACTCTGTCCTGTCTACTGGAAGAGGGTGGTAGCATGTCCAGAAACAGTGTGCGCTGACTGCAAATTGAAAATGTTCAATGTAGTTCATACCTCATTAGTTCATCCCCCAAGTGCCACAAATAAGCAGCAGATCAGTTTTTGTGTGCTCTGCTAGTCTTCACTTTGTTCAAATACAATCTTGAAAGCATAGAAAACAGCATCTAAGCTTTTTATTCCTTATTATTCCTTATTTCAGCACCGCTAACTAAATGCAAAATGTAAGGGAGTTATTGTGGTTTAGATTTTCTTCCCTACATGCGGTTTCCCAAATTTTCTGACCTCTGTCCCCTGAATTAGAAAAAAACCAAATTATATGAATGAAATGTTCAGTGTTAAAGCTGTCTGCCTCTATCTGCATAGTATTTGTGAAACTTAAAAAAAAAAAAACAAAAAAAACCCCAAAACTAAACTAAAAAAAAATCCACCACACAAAAACCTTCAGGATTGATTTGGATTTGCAGACTAATTTCAACATGTATATGTTGATTCTTGTCCAAGTTCTTTTCATGTGGAAGGGTGTCCACTTCTGCTAAGCTGCCTGCTGGTGTGAAAAACATTTGCATTTTTGGGACTAATTCAAATAGGAGTTTTAAGCCAGTGGTTAATGTAATGTGTATCTTTAAGGGCTTAATGTCGTGTATAAGGGCTTAATGTGAAGTTCTTCTGAGATCCTTTAACGACTGAAAGAGGATGGACTACTTGGTTGTGCAAGGAAAAACTACCTCTTATACAGAGTGTTGGCAACAGCACTGTTTCTTGTGGAGTGGTAGGGGGTTTGGAGTTTGTGTGTGGTTTGGTTTTTTTAATCCTGCTTGAAGAAATCTACTGTGATCATTAGAAACTCTGAGATTGCTGAATGATCGAACTGATGATTCTGGTTTCCTTAGCTTACAGATGCAGAATGGTTCAGACTACCTGATAAAAACCTAATATCATGTTTATTAATACTGCTGTTTGGCAGAGACAAACATATTTTGTGCCTGTATAGTTAGGTTGTAACAGGATCAATGACATCCCCAGGACATGGTAGAAATAGTAGAAGATGATCAAAGCAAAATTATGCCACCACATATTCAGGGAAGTTCCATGTCAACAATCTTTATAACTGAATATGATACTACTGGTTTATAAACTTCACATTTTCACTTTGTTCTGGGATTCTGTCTTGACTTAAGATAGTAAGGGCAAGGTCTGTTATGTGTACCGGATCAGACCTCTGGCATTTCTGTCTTAAATGGCATGAGAGCTGTTCTGAGTCTATCAAGTGACATACTCCAGTCTATGCAGAGCCACTAACAAGTTATATGAGAAATTTTGCAAGCAATATATAAACATTATTTTTGCTTGGCTGGAGGCTATAAGAATGATTTGCCTGTCATGCTAGGTCATAATATTTTTGGTGGGTTTAACCATTCTTGTATGGTTTGATTTGTTCAAATACTTATTTTTAAGATCCAATGGAAGTTCTAGTTTGCTGCATATCAGAACTTACTTTTGTTAAGCTGTAGATATGGGATCCTTTATCCAGTTGCACAGAGGCGTTTTCATACTCTCAGAACAAGACTAGGTAATTGTTGTTTTATTCTCATGGGGAAGGGAGGCCTGACTTATCTTTCATAGTTGTTAGGGAGGGTTCCCCCATTTTTGCAGGGTGGCATATGATGGAGTCTTTCATGGGTATTCTGGAAGGCGAATAGACCAAGTGATACAGTACCTTTCTTATATCTACCTTTTGTTGTGTTCACTGAGTGTAATAGAAAACATTTGGGTCAACTGGTTATTCATTGTTCTGGTTAGATGTAAGATATGTAGAGGCTTTTTTTTTTTCTTTCAGCAAATACCTTTTTAATATTTTAGCTGTTAATGGGGAAATCTTTCCCAACTCCAGAATTTTTTTTTTTCTCAAAATCATTTTGGCTACGTAATATGATTCAAGCCCTAAAAGGATACTTAAACCCAAAATTTTGAGAAAGGCTATGGGTACTTTAAAAGTTGTATATAATGCTGTCCAAAAACTTATACCATTTATTCATGAGGCATCAGATCCTAAAGCACAAAAGACAGGGGTGTGACTAAGAAGCTGTGAGACACTGTACCAGTTACAGTGGTAAATACAAAAAAAGGTATTCTACTTTTCATTGTTAGAGAGAATTAAAGAATGCGAGTATCTCCAAATGTGAACAAATCAAGACATTACCAAAATTAAAGTAAATTGTTTGACTTAATGTAACATGTTTTTAATTTAGAATTCCTCTTAAAAGGTAGAATTTTTTTAGATTGTACTTCATACTTAATGTGCTATTTATTTATTGTTTATTATGGAATATGTCTTGCTGGGTACATTTGATCCTTGTCTAACTTTCCCTCTGGATGCATGCACATTCTTTAGATTTATTCAGAGTATTTGTTCATGAAGCACTGAATCCCATTGACCTATTTTTTTTTTTTCATGAACCTAAGCTTGTTTCCTCTTGTCTGTGTTTTGTGAAAAGTATGTTAAACTGATTTAAAAAAATGCATACAGTTCTGCCAGTAACAGTAATAATAGTCCAGTCTGAAAGTTAAGTACTTTCAGTCTGTAATGTGAGAATTTGGAGCTGATAGTTGATAGTTTGCTTAATAATAGAGGAAAATTAGTCAAAGTTTTAAGCAGTGGCCAACTTACCTCTTAAAGTCTGCAAGAAGTATTCTTCTAAGTCTTTTTCATTTATAACTTTCCCTCTGTAACGGTGGTGTCGGTCTTGGTTAAAAGGCTTTTTAATCCAAGCTAGTTCACTTGGGAGGTCAGGCAGATTGATTTCCATGGTGCTGGAAAGACAGATGGTAAGCATGAAACTTGGGTATTAACATAAATGGTCCTTGTTTGGCGTGGGTTTCTTGGGTTTTGGGGTTCTTTTCTTGCTTGCTTCGTATTCCTGTCCAAGGGTAAGAGTTAGTAAAACAAAAATAATGAGTTTTGGAGAGGTTTATATGTTTAAGTGGAAAACTCAGTTACGAAGTGCTGTCTTCTGGGCTTCTTGTGTTATCATTAATTAAACAAACTTGTATTCAGAACAGCAAAAGCAAAATGAGTTGCAGTGTTTCAAATGGCTTTTATAATTGTTTGAAAGAGCTCCTGACTAGTTCCAAAACCAGGCATCTTTACTGGTAAGGAAAGTCTCTCATTATCACCTTCGTTCCCGGCTGGCGGTGCATTAAGTATAACATATCTCTGTGATTGTTGAAGCTGAATGGTTCTCCAGCAAGCACATTAACCCAGTGGTTTAGTCTGAGATAAGAAAGGAGCCTGTTCTTGATACCTTTATAGCAAAGAAGCAATGCAAGCTAGGGGGAGGGGAGGAACCATAGAAAGCTGTTTAGAAGTTCTAAAAATATAAAAATATGACCTGAAAGATGGCACTCTAACTGGAAGAGGTTTTCCACTCTGGTTCGGTGTTGCAGAGTAGTAATCCATCTCATTCCACACTATACTTTGTCAGATGGCAGTTTGTCAAAGTGTTCCTGATCTTGGACGCTGTTTACCACCTGTGGAATTACGCCAGTGCAACTGCTGTGGGACTGTGCTGTGAACTGTATTTGTGAAATGGCCTTAGATATTCAAAACAATAAGAAAAGGAGGGACTTTTTAATTAACTCTAATGACTTATAAATCTATGTGGCGGGCTAATATTTAAATTGAGGAAAATAGGAATAGTGAATGAGGAGTCTCAGTGAAGAAGATATTAGAGCAGATTGACTGAGTAGGGGTGGCATTTCAGCTAACCTTACTACTGGAAGAAGTATGAGTTTTGAGAGAGATTGCTTTATATGCTTTTGCCTTAAACTGTTTGAAGTGTAAAAAGGATGCATATATGTGCTTTTCTTTATGGGAATGAGATTGGATTAAGTTGATTTCCATGATTACCTTATAGGATGGGTTTCAAAATATGAGCCCCTTTCTTTCCAGAGAGAGTTTGAAAGGTTATTGTCTTCTACTTCCAGTTGCTCTACTTCATTGTATAGCAACATCTAAATTGGAACTGTAAAATGAAACTGTTCTCTCTCTTCTGTCAGCTCTTCCAACTAGTCAAGTAACTTTTAAACAGATTATTTTTTTGAATGAAATGAAGCTATATCTGCACAAATGGCTAAACTGCCTAAGGCAAGAGAGTGATAGTGTCTGGAATCTCTGAAACTGGTAGTGCCCATGAGTCCCACGAACACTTCTTCTGGTTTAGCATTCTCAGGCTACAGTTTCGTGAACATTTAAATAGCTTTGCCTTACTGTGCTGCCCTCAGCTTCTTGTTTCTGCCCTCTCTTTTGTGCTAGACAGCATATTTGTGAAGCTGATCTGCAGACAGTATCAAGGAACTGGTCTGGACTAAAATGTGTCCAGCTGACATAAGGTAGAGGGGTGAATTGGGGTAGAATGAATTAATGGCAAAGCTGTAGGAATGTAAAGGTGGTGACACTGCTTCTTCCTGCTCACTTAAAATGAAAACTAAAGTGAAACTACAGCTTTGGGATGCAACTTCAATTTATGTTGCCAAAGAGAGAGGCCTCTGTCTCACTGTGGCGCTTGCTATCCCCACTCTTAAATGAGTTCTGCTAACTGGGCAGCATTGGAACAGTAAGCTGACTGCCCCATGAAGCAATGGGAGCACAATGTAGAAGAGACCAAGACCTTCCTATTGGTGTCATCCAGCTGTTAGGCTTGAGCAGGAAGACTTCCATAATGCTTTTGTTTTCTCAGAATCTCTTTGTTTTCCCATAGCAGTTTCAGTCAGGTTTTAATGATTGATCCAGTCAAGTTTGGAGAGAAGTTGTGTTACATGTTTAGATAAATATTTGTGGGTCAGTGTTTCTAATAAAAATGACATATGTCAGAGGAGAATGTAGATGAAGATAATTGATGGCTTCTTTTAATTTTATGAAATCTGATTTGTCTGTAATATGGGTTACTCATGACTTCATGTGTGTCAAAATAGAGTGTGAATCCAACTAAAATATATTGCTAATGATGTTCATAAGCTGCCTCTACTTGGTTACTAAAGATGCTGCCCAGCATTCAGTGTAGAAAAGCTGGATGGGAAGTGCTGAACTAGATAGAAAAATGAGCCACTTACTTAGTGGCTTCTGTTGGATGAAACTCTTAAAAGAACTGCAGTAGAGATATGCCATTAGACATATGAACATTCAGTTAATGATTATGCTGGGTGTAGTAAAAAGATGACAGATTTGAAAAGAACTGGTAAGTACCAACTCTGTTTTTAATAAAAGGATGTTCATAGATAAAGTTGTATGCGTGTAAGAAATATATCAAATATAATAATGCAGTTGGGGGACACACAGAAATTTCTGGGGCAAGGGAGCAAACTGGTAGTACAAATGAGTCCTTTTGAAAAGAGGAAGGTAAACATTCCAAGCTGTTGGACCGTATCTAAGTTAATGCCCAAGTTTACTTGTTCATAATCTGCTTTACATCTTTGTAATACTGTTAATGTTTTGCAGTGACTCCCTGATTGCTTGCCAGTAGTACAAAGTGGAAAGAAGCCTGATAACTTGTACACCAAACTGAGATTTGGATCTACTTCTGGTCTGGTGTAGGCCTGTTTCTGGCAGAATTGAGTGTGACTTTTATCATTTGTCCCATTAAGATACCATTATAGGTTCCTTATCTTCGTTTCTTCAGCAAGTATGCTTTTGAAGAAGCTTTCTTCTCTTGGCAGTTTGTCTGATAACAAAGTCAGGGAAGGGAAGGAGCTTTTCTTCAGTGTTAAAATGTGCTCCATGACTAAAGAGGTAGCTCAAAGTGGAAACATTTTCAGATCTCTATGCAGTAGGCAATCCAGTTTTACTAAACTGTAAATATAAATATTTTATAAGCATTGGCTGCATGTATGAAATGCTTTTTTTATTGGCTTATGTCTTTTGTAAGAACAAAGTTCCTTAAAGAAGAAAGTCCCTTAAATTGTGCTGTATTGATTTGTTTATGACTTGAAAAGCTTTGTTGTCTATTCCTTAAGCTGTGACTTCTAAAGAAATAAACACACAAATTAATATAGTTGTTATTAAATAAAATTTTTAAAAAAAGAAGCAAAGTAGAACTTCAGTTTGTCTAGGGATATTGTTACAGAAATGAGGTGTGGGCATGACTTTTTGAGGGGTTTAGTCCAATACAGCACACCTAGGATAACCTGAAGGTCTAGGAAAAAAGTTTGGTAAATAATTGCTGTCTTTGCCATGGCTGAAAATAATTTTGAGTGGGCTTTGGTTGAGATTTTTGAGTTTTTTGAGGAGGAAAAAAAAGTTGTGGTGGGAGGGAAAGATTTAACTTTGAAATAAAAATCTACATCTGGCTGGAAAAGGTTATGTGGGGTTTTGGTTTGTTTTTTTTTAAAAAAAACATTCCTTCACTTTGTCATGTTTTTATAATGAGTTAGTGATTTCAACTTCATAAAAATATTGGCATGACCTGCAGTATAAAGATGAGTTTTAAAAGGCTAGAAGTGTATTTTCAGAAATTAAAATATTTTACTGGTAACATGTGAAGTGTCCAATTGCCTCTGATGTACTTGCGCACTATGCATTGACAGACTTCATAGGTGAACCAAGATTTAAAATAACCTGCTTTGTGGCTTGGATTAAATACAATTCTGAAGAGAGTTCTGCAGATTTGTTGAGTTGGCACAACTGTGGGGACAGTGAGGAGATGAGTATGTGTGTGGGTAAAAATGGCCTCTTTGAAGTGGGATTGCTGATGAAGAAATAGTACATGGCACTACTGACAAAGTTTCTCCTGCTGATGGAGTACCTTTCAGCTCAGCGATCGGGCTCTAACTCTGCCAACTTTCAGTGGAATTTTACTTATTCTGAAAGCCAGAATGGGGCTTAGTGTCTTGCTGAGCTGGAACCCTTTTGCCCTCATTGCTTTGTCCTTGATACCTTCAAAGAGTAGGGTTCAATATGAATCTAGTTTTAAGCTGCTCCATGAATGTGATGGTATGATTGGAGCTTTGGTACTGTTTCCTTCCTATAAAATCAAATTCTTTTCGTAAGAGAAGTAGAGAGGGAAACTTCCAGAGAGCCTCTGACTGAACTGTCATACTGTAATTCAAACTTTAATTTTTTTGTTGAGCTTCAAAAACTGACAAATCTAAAAATAAGTGTTTAAAAAAGTATGGATATTCTTTAGCCTAGTTTAAATGGTAAAGTCAGTAATTCAAAACAGAAGGTTGCAACTGTAGTGAGAAGGCATCTGGTAGTTAACACTTCATTTTCCTGCCACTTCTATTTACAAACAGTATCAACATTTTGTAGTTCTTGCATTTAATCTGACTGAAGTTGTATTTGTGTTTGTACCTTTGCTATTTCTGATTACTTTATAAATAGTTGGTCACACACAGAATATTTGAGTGGAAATTGATGGTAATTCATATGTTGCAGATCTAATGGACTGCTGGTATTTTGCTTTTTTTCCTATTGATTTGATTTCTCTTTTTAAACCATTGTCTTACACTTGCCTTTTTTTTTTTTTCTTATTTTCAAGTGTCAATTTACAGTATCTGGTTTTACGACAAGAATGACTGTCATCGAATAGCAAAACTCATGGCTAAGTGAGTACTGTGGTCTTACTATTCTCTAATTCTTTTTATGCAATACAGAAAAAAAAATTGAACCTATTAAACATGTTTGGCTTTTTTCTCACTCTCCTTAAAATACAACATTCTTGCTGGTACCATTTTTTTAGCAATCAAAATGATGGGTTTGTTTTTTAAAAAAACTACAGCATTAAAATTTTCAGTTAAGTGGTAAAAAAATCAGCTGAAGTATTAGTTGACATTTTCCAAAGAAAGCAAGTATGAAAACTGTTTATTTTATATTTTATTTTGTGTAGAGATGCTGGCAAAAGATCCTCTGATGCTGAAAGTGTAATCAAATAAATGATGGCCATGGTTTTCTGGTTGGTTTTGTGGTTTGTTTGGTTGTGGGCTGGTTTTTGTTTGGGTTTGCATGGGTTTGGTTTGGTCTTGGGGTTTTTTAAGGCTTAGCTATTATTCCTGACTAAAGTGAAGAGATTGGAGAATAGTGGGAGAAGTAGGTGGAATCTTAGAGAATTAAAGTGATGTTAGGAGAGTAAGCGAAACTATGAAATAATAGGAGCTTGTTGTTGCTAATACCTGGATTGTTTGATTTTTGTTTTTTCTTTCTTTTTTTTTCCCCCCCTTTGGAGATGAAGTTGGTTTATAAAGCTGCCATGGCACTTGCTCTTATTTTGTAGTTCCAGGGGCTCCTAGAGATGTGATGCAGCAGGAGAATTTCTGAAGTTACCTTAATTTAAAGAAACCTTAAAAGACTGTGTTTGCAATAACATGGTTTTGTTAGTTTGTTTCAGCTGCTGTCACTGTAGCAATGCGGTTAGCCTATCTGTACTGTACATGGTTGCACTGTACAGTGCAACCATGTGAACTTCTGTTCATTCACAGAAGTTTGAACAGCAAAGGTCAAAGAAGGCTGCAACTGGTTGAGCTGGCAGTGTGGCGTAAAGTCTTTAAAACGTTGTGATGGGAGGGTATTCTTGCACTTTTCTGCTCCTTCAGGTGAGGTGCCTTGCAGATTAAGCCAAGACTTTTTACTAATAGAAAAGGATGAGAATTAACTTAAGCAAGTCTTCAGTGTTCTTAAGGAAGGAGCTTGAAGTGTGTGACAGGGTAGTTACATTAGCAAAAATGCAAAATTGCAAAATGCAGATGTACTGCACAGGATGTCTTCTTATCCCTTGTTCTCTGCTTTGTTTTTCTTCACCATCACACTCTACTTTCCTGAATTTTCTTTTTCTATTGCATGCCTTGTGCATGCATGTTGTATCTTGGAAGTCAGGACATCTCGAAGACTGGCAAAACTTAATTATATGGGAACTAGTCATAGTGTAGACATTTTAAGCTGAATTTTAATTTCTTATTCTGGGGTTTTTGCTTTGAGTTGTTTTGGCTTTTCCCCACAGGAGCAATGTAAGACAACACAAATGACAGACTTTGATATCAAGGTCTCTTTCTAAATTCTTATTTTTTTTTTCTCTCATCCTGATAACCCTATACAGTTCCCATTTCATGTTCTTTTTGGGGTTTTTTTTTGGGTTGGTTTTTTTTTTTTTGGTCCCTAGCAGTGTTGGACTTTCTGCTGTTATTTGGCTTGTCCAAATATAAGGATTAATTATAAGGATTAATAGAAAGCAGTTGTGTGAAACTGACTCTTAAAAATTGTCACCAAAACAAATAAAATGTCTGTTGCCTCTCTACTTTATAAAGAGATCATTGGACGGGCAAGGTTTTCCTTTTTTAATGTACCTTTTAATTTAAAACCATGATTAATGTTTGCAGTGTGGGAGAGAGCTGAACCCTTCAAACTCTACCATATTCTTATTCTGTCATGCACAACTACACTGCAGATCTAAGTGTCATACAGCAAAACTTAAGTTCGTTTGTTATTAAACCAGTCTAGTCACTATAGCACAAATCATGGGCTATAGATACTTCAGGGATCTTTAAAAGTGTAATCAGGTAACAGACCAGTCTAGCCATGGCTCAGCAGTCCATAAAGCATGTCAACCCTTTTTGCTGGATTCTGTAGTATTCTGGAAATAACTGTAACCCTGTAGGTTCATTCAAAGGCAGTCTGGGAATAACCTAAGCTTTATCGTCATCTCCTTTGTAAACTACTGTAACCTTTTCTTGGGTCCCTGATGCCTGTACTGCAGCTCTGTTAACGCACAGAGGCAGAAGTGCCAAAGTTGGCATTAATGCTTTGCCCCTGCTTATGGTGCAGGTACTTACATGCTCTTGTAATTGTAGCATCTCAGCACCCTAGAAAGTTGGTGAGACTACAAATTATTTTGGAAGGTCAGAAAGCTTAAATGTATTTTTAAAATGTTGGAATTTTTTATGGTGTGTGTTAGAATGATTGTGGATTAAATAAAACTATCTCTGAAACTGAAATTGCATCAAGCAGACTTTGTGGAACATGTATTGAGCTTTGTCACTTCAGACTTATGCAAGTGAAACTAGAGAAATCAAATGTGTACACAAAAAAGATTTATTGATTGGATTTTGACAGAATACAGACAGTTAAATTTTACTGAGCTGGCTAGACCTCACTTTAGTATGATTTTTAGTATTTGCTGCCATTAACTTGGTAAAAAAAGGTGTAAGTGACCTTTGCTAGCCTAAGTACTGCTAGTAATAAGTCATTATTGGAGTGCTTTTCTTTCATAAAGCCTTTCTTCATTATTAGATTATGGAATGTCTGAATACTTCTAATTCTTTTTTCTTTTAAAACTGTGTATTGGCTTGGGGGTAACAAAAGTATTTGTAGAAGCCATTTTTATACCGAGAAAGGTATTTAGTGTAAGGATATTTACTTTGTTGAAAAAGCACTGTAGAATGAAACCACGCTTCATTTGGTACTGCATGCCTTACAGCTTTGGAGTATCTAAAGATTTATATTAGGGAAAATGAAATGAAGGCAGTGTAGTTGCACATTACTATAGGATGCAAAAGCTGTACTTCTGAGGCTGTTGTTCCAAACTTGATGAAAAGCAGATTGATACTATTTTGCTAACATCCATTTCCACAAACATCAAGCTTTCTCTCCCCCAAAATGGGTAGAAGGCAGGCAGAAGAGAAGTAAAAAAGCTGATACTTTGTGTGTTTCTCTACAAGAAAGAGGCTGAAACTGTGGGAATTATTTCATCCTGGGATGAAAGCTGTATTTAAGAAAACTTAAAACATGCTTTTTAATTTATAAAATAAAATGGCATCTTAGAGGAGGAAAGTTGCATTTCAGTGCATGGTAGCAGGCTCCATCAGGCTTAGTTCAGTATATTTTAAAATAAATATTTACACTGTCTTCCAAGAGAGGAGTATTAGTTTTGCTTCACAGTTTTTGTCTTTGTCTTGGGTGGAAATTTGGATTGGCACCCTTTCATCTAGGTGAGTTTTTTTTGTATCACTGATAGGAAAGAGTACTGCCTTTATAGTACCTCAGAGCTTCAAAAACATAACCATAAAAGGTTTCAAGGAGATTTGCATTCTCTTTCCTGCCGTTTGACTTGACCTTATTGTGCCAGACTGAGTTAACGAGATTGCAGACCATCCATTTGTATTTTGGTGGCTTATCTTTCAAAAGAGAAGTAAATTAGTGTTTGTGGGCTATGTAATCAGACTTCACTTCTCACATTCTTTCTCTCTCTCTCCCCCTGCTCCCCACCCTCCCTTCTGTGAGGTTGTGCCAGGTATATTTTCAATGCTATAACTGCAGATATTCTTAAACAAACTGTCACAGCAGCCACTGTGTCCCCAAAGCAATGTGTGCCTCTTCCACTATCTGATATAATGGAAAGAAACAGCAGGCCTTGCTTAAAAAAGATTTAATCCTGGATTGCACACAGAGCATGCTCAGTGTATAGATTTGCATTAGTTGACTTTTTGCCCCAGCAAAGGTATTTGATTTACAGAACTTTTTTGTTGTATTTTTTCCAGAAAATTCTAGAAATCTTTTAAAATGAAAAAAAATTATGGGAGTTATCAAACTGCTAACTTTAGAAGGAATTAATTTGGGGCAAGTTAAATCAAGATGATTTTTTATGAGGGATGAGCTTTCTAGAAGTAGGACAGAAACTAGGGTTTTTCAAATCTTTGTGAAACTATTGCATTCTGACATGTAAATTTGGGGGGGGGGGGAGATATTTTTAGGTTGGTTTATAGGCTTGTTTTACCCTGTTTCAACAGTCAGGCCCAAACTGGCTTCTGAGATACAGGCAGCAAGCTAGAAGTGGGAGAGTATCTCTCAGAGGTTTGGGAGTATACTGTTTCACAGTTACCCCATCACCACCATCTGAACGTAACCCGCACAAGACAAAAGATGGAGGAAGAGCTATTGGACAATTATCTACATAAGAAGATAATCTGTTTTTCTTAAAAAAAAAAAAAACAAAAAAAACCAAAAAAAAGTAAACTTTAAAAAGATAACAAATACTTCATAATGGACAACAGAAAAACACTCTGAAATGTTTTTCAGAAATCTTTGTGAAGCATTTCTGTGAAATGAATGTATTCCTTGAAGATGTTTTGCTATGAGACCAATTAGTACTGTTTTAACGGGAAGATGTTTTGTTGAAACCTTCTGGACCAAGTAGTTAAGAGCAGAAGGAAGGTCTCAAGACTGAAGCCTTTGCTTCACCTGTCAGGCAGCACATGCATGACTTCAGCTGTCCAGAATTTTCCCTTTAACGGAAGTATTTATTTTTTCTGATAGAATTATGCTGAGACTTAAAATCTCAGCAAGGTATTCTGGTTCTCTTACCTTGCCCTTTCTCATCCCTAGTTTCGGAGTTGAGTTCAGGCAAGTCCTAAGTCAGGACTGTATGACCTGTGGGGTGTTAGAACAAAATGTTCTCTCAGGGTGTCACCATAGAAACATTTGCACAGTATTGAGCTGCTTCATCCAAACGAGCGCATGCTGCAGTTCTTAGAGATTGTCAGACAGAGTGTAGATTGGCCTCCCTATTCTGAGTTACATTTGCAGGTGGATGCTTGCTTAGAAATGGAGAAAACTGTACTAATAATGAGAAGCTGGTTAAATAAGCAGCTGGTATGATTAAAAATTTTCAAAGTAATTTTGAAAGCAGCATTGAATTGTTAAAAGCCAGATCTAACCCTTCTTCAAATAAACACAGCTAAACTCTAGTGAAGAGGCTTGGTTGCTAGAAAACTGGGAAGAAACTTCCAAGATTTGAACTATTTTTTTTTTCCTCAGAAATGGCAACATAGAGGTGCATATAAATATCTAATTACAGTCAATAAAATCTGGAGTTATTCCTGAATTCTAACTGACCCAAAGAAACTGGAGGCTGGAATGATTGACACTTTCTGTGATTGTTATGATAGCACCTCTTGGCTGCCCCATCAGCCATCAGTTCCACAGCATGAGAGTTCTCAAGTGATGTGCCAGCTCCAGAGCTCTGCCCTGTTTACAGTGCTTGTTTTTTCTTAACATATTTGATTAATGCAGGCTTAAAAAAGAAGGGATTACAGGCTGGTGTGTGTTTATTTCAAGAGGATAAGCTTTAGCACATTGCACAGCCATGTATATCTTGTGAATTGTGTATAGATTAGGAGTAGAAATATATGCTGCATTTACTTTTATTAACGAAATGTACCAGGTACACATCATCTTCTTGCATACCTTAACCCTCTTTTAAACTGAAATTTTTTGATACTTGAGGCAAGGAGGGGTGGAGTAGAAGACGGAATGAACCGTAGGCACCAAAGGCCGGAGGAAAAGATGTGTGGTAGACCTGTGGGTAATTGGAATAATTACAGGGCAGCTAGAGAAGAAAATGGTTTGCCCTTCTTTCCAGAGCCTTAATTGGGGGAGTAAGGGGTAACTTGCTCTTAGCCTTCTTGCAGACTGACTCCAGAGACATCTGGTGTGAGCCAGCTCTCTTCTTTGCCAGTGCCCTTGTTTTGTTGTATAATGCTAGGTCTCATCCTAAATTAGAAGTGTTTTGTAATTGATTTTGTTGAATAACATGGCTTCACTTGGCTAAATATGGAAAAAAAAATGCATGTTAGGAAGTAAAGAGTAAAAAATGTATTTTACTCGTCTATGGTGTAATACATGTGCTCTTTGTATAACATGTGCTTGAATTTCCGCATATTTTATTGTAAAAATGTCTAGATATGATAGTTCTACAGAAGTAGAGTTTACTGTAGGCAAACTTTGTGAGAGACAGACCAGCGCTGCCTGGACTGGAGATAAATTATACAGACCATTTGGCAGTTTGACTTGTATAAACCTTGTAGCAAATCAAAACTTGTGTAACTTCAGTCAACTATGCATTAGGTTTTTATACAGGCAGAACAAAATTTGTTAATATGTTGAGAGTACATTTTTCTTTACTGCTTTTTGCAAGATGTTAACTCTAGATAAAATTTTAAAATCCTGTTTCTCCTTTCCTGTTATAGAGTGGTAGAACAAGAAGCTCAGAGATCGCAGCAAGTTTCCCAGGTCAGAAAAAGTCCCAGCAGAACCAATGGCTGCAATGAAAACAGGCCTATTGACATCCTGGAAATGCTTAGTAAAGCCAAGGATGAATATGAACGAGTAAGGAAATGTCTCTTTTTCTTTTCTCACCCCCACAACAAATTAAAAACACTACTTCTACTTCTGAATAAGAGGCTTAGGACATTTTATGGAGTCCACTGAAATATGATGATTTCCTAGCACTGTGATTTCTGAGAGAGAGATGATAGAGAATAATTCTGCTATACTAAATTGCCCTGTGCAATACATTCTAACCCAAGAGTGCGAAGTAGTGCATCTAATCTATAATTTAATGGGCCAGTATATTCTTATGGTTGAATTGCTACCTTCTGTGGGTGGAAAAAATACTATTTTAAAAACAGATATATGGAGATGCAGACACAACAAAATATTTTTCTAAAATAGGTGCATGGGCTGCTTAATCTCAGTGCTTGTCTACTGTCTTCTTTTGTGAGATCATTGTCAAAGGAAACATGAACAAATAGGTATATATGTAACACTGCAGAAGAATGTACCTCTGAACATGTCTGGTTTTGTGATCTTGAAGTTCCGTCATCATAAATATCCCTTACAGTGGCTGACACTTTGGTTTTTCAGTTTTCTCCTCTGTACTGAAAGTCACTGGAAGAGATCTGCTCTATCATGCCATAATCAAGAGCATTTGTTGAGCTGCACACTAAAATGCTTTGGCATGTTGAATAATATAACAAACCCAGAACGTTTATGAACTATCCCATGTATATGATACAAGCATAGATGTACGATGACTTAGAAAGAAGGGGTAATGTGGGGAAAAATTAATATTTTAAAACAGTGTGGGATTTGCATGTTGCATGAATTCATAAGTTTTATTTCTGTAATTATTACCTTAGTGGACAACTCTTTGCCTACTTTTTCATTGTTTTTCATTTTTAAGAAAGCCTATCTGGAAGCTAGTTTTTAACACATCAGCTGTGTTTTGTTTAAAGAGCAGGCATTCTCTGCCATTGTTTCAGTAGCCTTGTTTTCAGACTGATGTCTGTTCCCTCCCTCAAAGTACACTTTAGGAAACAGTCTCTGATTTCAGGCAAGATAAGTTGAATACTGATAGTGTGATCCAGCTTGAAATGTAGCTTGATAGACCCATTTTACAGTACTTTCTACTGCTGTGAAAAAACTTTGTCTCTGGGAATAGCAAATAAAAATTGTACCCAACGGTGTCTGTCTCTCCTTAGTCTTAAAGTCTCTTCCTTAGTCTTAAAGGAAGTCTTGTGGTATTAGAGATTTAGTCATTCAGTACATTTGTAGACTATGAATGCTATGAAGCATTTTTTTAATAGCTGTAGACTAAGTATAACAATACTGTTCCCCTATCCTTCTGTTCCCCAGTTTACTACTTCTGTCCTGTCTACTGTGTGTCTATCCTTTTAATAAATTAATTGATTTCAGAAGGGTGAGTCTGGTATCTTTTGCCAGTGCTAAATTCACAAGTTTACATAATGAAGGAAAAATACTAGTTCTTAGGAAAGAATTGTGTGATACAGTCCTGAGGACCAAATTCATATATGCAGGATGAATATAGGGGTAATGTGTGGGAGATGCAAAAAGGGGAAACAAAGATTCTGAACATGCCTCTCCCCAAGTATAATAAAAGAATGCGCAATAGTAATGTATGAGTATAATGTGGTATGGGTTTTGTTGTTGTACTGGTGGGAGAAATTAGTAGAGTGCTTGATGCCTTCCAGAACTTGCTTGTGTAGTAGGTCACAGCAGAGTTCGAGTACTTTGGATTTAAGTCTTTGTAGGATTCTAGATTGTCACAGTACAACGTAGGATGAGGAGAAAAGAATGAACATGTGGATTAAGCCTTGTATGAGCCAACTTAACTTGTCACTTTCTGACATAGATTGAGGGTGGGTGAACATGACAAACCATAGAATATATTTGACCCAGGCTAGATCCTAGCTAGATACTAGTTTCTGAAAATCAGTAATGTGGTTTTTGAACACTTTAAACACAGATTAAAAAAAATAAATTGCTTCTGATTCTCTGAGCATCAGTGCTGTTTGGGGAGAAGGTGTCTTTGTACAAAGGGCAGCATTGTGGAAGTAGCAGCTTTTGTGAGAGCACAGAAGGAAGCATCAAAACCTGAATGACTTGTCTTTCAATGTTGTATAATTTGAGACAGATTTGAAGAAATTGAAGGCTTTTTGGGAAGGGAGAAAAAAAACCCAACCCAATACAAAAAAGCAAACACGCACCACAAGAACTCACTGTTTTGGTAGTGCCCTCTTAGGGTGTGATAGTCTTTCTCCCTCTTTGTCCTTGCAGTATTGGATAATATACCTTTCCAACAGATGGCTCTTAAAAATGACTCAGAAAGGATATTCCAGCTTCTTCTCTTCTAATTTTCAGATCTTTTTCATGTGAGAGTACTGAAAAGCTTTTGCTAGAAACAAAGTTCCTAAGCGTCATGGATGAAGCTCTGTAGACAAGTAAAATACTGATTAAACAGGCAATGGTATGCAGATTTTGTGGTGAACAGTCGACATCTGTGGTGCCTGTAATACAATAAGGAAATACACAGGGCATGGACTACAGTAGAGCTACTATGTAATTGGGGGGGTTGTGTCTTGATCTTGATTAATTGTTGTTATTGTGTGTGTGTGTGTTTCTCAATGCTTTTAGAACACTAGTGAAACTAGAGTAATTATTTAATTTCCTTTTTGTGTGTGTGAACTGTAAACTGAATCTGTTCAACGTAATCCCATAGCCTGCTATGATCGTAGTTATGTAGAAGTTGCCAGATAAACAGCATTGAGCGGTGTTGGTCATGTTTCAAGCAAACTTCTTTGAAGAATGTTCTGTTGACCACCTCAGCTTTAGCAGCAAACCTCTGGCATGTTAATTTTGGAACTTCTTGTAGTCAGCATATGTCAATGTTAACATGATTAAGTAACCAACTTGTTTTGAAGATTCAGACCTTTCCTGTCTTAATTTTTTTTTTTTTTAAATTATTTTATGGCACTCGGTAATTATGCATGGATTTGTATTTAGGAGCAGAAAGTACTTATCTGCCTGGTACATTCCAGATGGATCATACAGTAATCCTTGTGTGCTGCCCATATGAGATTGGCAGAGTGTCAGCATGAGAAGAGGGCAGAGAGAGTGAAAAAGAGATTTATGAAGGTCTGAGTGATTTAATCTAGGATTCCGAATCAGCTTAATCCTTCCACGTACTCACTACGTCAAGTCCATATGTGAAAATGAATGAATTCTGAGATTTTTTTTTTAATGAAGTGAATGGATGCTTTTTATAGTGTGGTGTTTTGTGTGTGTGTTTCAGTGTGAGCATGGAAACATACTGCAGCTCATCCTCTAGTGAAAAGAAACCTATGCTTTGTCTGATTTTGTAACCACAAGGCATCCAGCATTTCAGGCACAAAGAGTTTTGACCTTCAAGTTAGTGGCTAAAAGTTGGAAAGATGGAAGAAGTTGCTTCTCACCTCTGTCCCTAAAGCACAATATATAGTCTTGATTTTGTATTTCTTGCTTTCAGTTAGAAATTGAAAAGAAAAGAATAATAAAGCTCAGGTTGCTTTTTAACTTGTTGCTAAAAAGTTTAACCCATATTTTGCTGTTGTGGGTAAGTGACCAGAGTAATCATCGTGTGTTGTACTAATGTTCAGCTCTGTCGTATGCATAAGGTGTAGTTTACCTATTGAAAGCTAGGCTGTTCTACAGTTTGGGTTTTTTCACTGGTGATTTAAACTGTAATACAATTTCTATATTTGTTTATGTATATATTTATTAAAGATGAAAGTCATCTCGATCTGTAGACATACTGGCTGTTATAATGCAACTCCCTTGTCTGTTTTTGCCTTCTTCACAGAAAACCATATTAACACCTTCTAAAAATACATGTGCACAATTAATTAAATCTGGTGGAAATAAATTGGTGAGAAGCTCTCTTTCCAGCCACTTAGAATGATTTCTGACAGGATTTTTTTTCTAAGCTGTTTCTAGTTTAGGTTCTTGATTTAATGAAGTGTAGCAAACTTTCTCATTAGCAGCTAACACAGATCAAGGGTGTGAAAAGCCTGCCTTTTTTTTCTTTTTTTTTGGTAATTTTCTTTCTTGGTGAAAAAACTATGATGCCAGTTGTCTTCTTTTTTTTTTTTTTTTTTTTTATATAATAATAAAGAGTAACATCTTTATGACTACATACCAGATGGTGGATGTCTTGGTATGATTTTTGTTTCCTAACATTTGTGAATTCCACAGTGTCATGCAAAAATCAGTACTCTGTACATTGTCTGTATTTCAGTCAAAAGTGCCATGTAAACAGGATTGTAGCAGTGGGTAAATGTAGACTTAAACTCATGTATTTGTGTTAATATTTTTTTCCCTCCCCCAGAATCAGATTAGTGACTTAAGTATTATATCAAGTTCTGGACTGCAACAAAATGCAAATCCTCCAAAGCCAGAAAGCACAGAGCCTTCAGAACAAAAAACTTCATTACAAGTGCAAGAGCAGGTATGTTTCATCCAACCCTAAATAAGGTGCTTTTTTTTTTTTTTTCACTTAGTACTTTGTTTTGGTACCAAAATTGTTTTTTCTTAGAATGCCTGCAGTGTTGTCTGCTGAATGTATTATTGCTTTAAATAAACTAATGGTTTGAAGATTTTTGGGATCCTAAGTTCTGTCTTTTGACTTAGCATTTAAAAATAAGAGGCTATGTCGACACTACTGTGAATATCCAAGTGTGTTTAAATGGGCTAACTTGGATTCTGGAAGAAGTCAGTCTGTGGTAATGTGCAGGATGCCTTGCAGAGCCAGGAGGCAAGAAGAAATTACCTCTGCCACATTATTGGACTGAATATGGCATCAGTTAGCTGTATGCATTGTTGCAGTCTTTCACACTGAGACATTTACTTAAGGTTTGTCTGTGCTGCTATAGCTACAGTCTTGCTAACTTAAATCAACAGTGAATTGCTAGCCAAGAAATGGAAAGTGCTTCAGTCATGGCAGCACTGAATTCTCTTTGGAGTAACTGAAAGTGTGTTTGCTATCTTCTCCCACACTTCTGTAGCTTGCATTGAACCTCTGATTGTATGACTGGTAATGATATCAGTCAGCTTGGCTGATTCCTTCATAGTTACACTGCGGAAAAAGTGTGGGGGGGTTTGTGTTGGCTTGCTTTGCAGTTTTTTGTTTTGTTGGGGGCAGGGAGGGAGTGTTGTTTGGCCTTTTTTTCCTATGTTATGAGCTTTTTGACAGTATATTCCTTCCTCTGCAGGAAGGGAAATACTTTAAAAAAAAAAAAAAAAAAAAGTCAGTGTTGTTGGGGAGGGATGTTGCTCAAATTGTAGTAATATGAGTGCTGAGATCTATTTCAGGTAAGTGTTAAATACAACATGTTGAATCAGCATGTATCCAGATATCTACAAATTCTAAAGCTTGGTGTTACTACTGTAATTAAAGTTTAAACCACAGTAAAAATGGTAGTGAAAATAACTTCTGCTTCACATAGTCTTTGAACCATGGGAAACTTGTTACAAAACATTTAGTATCATCACTGGAGTGGCTGGAGTAGGTAGCAACAGTTCAGTATTTGGCTCCATTTTCTAGTAAGCATTTCTGCATAAGGAAGCTGTAGCTTCATGCAAGACTCTTTAGAGAACTAAAAAAAAAAAAAAAAAAATTCTGCAAGATAACTTAATTCCCTGTAGCATGTAAGTAACTTGGGCCTGCTTACAGTGCCACCCAGTGGGCACGGCAAGGCCAGTAGTGGTTCTCAGAAAATAGCCCACTGAGGTAGGCTGCAAGGCCTGCCTCCTGTCCTTGCCATAGTTTACTGTTGTGTTTCTGATGCAATAAACCACTGCGTCTGAAAAATGAAATGCCCTATGAAAATGTGTGCCACCTTGTACTTAGTACTTGTAAACAAAACATTTTGTAGTAGTAATCATTCCCAGTACAGGTTAGGGCTAGGGTATGGGCAGAAGGAATCTGTTTTAGGGGATGGGGTAGTAACAGTTAATGAATTACAATGGGGGCAGGGAGTTTGCTGGGATTATTGGCTATCACAGCCCCCTCTACCCCCTCAGCAGCACCTCTGCTTTTGGATCAGCAGGTGTGATACACTGACCCCTGGCAGCCAGCTCTGGTTGCTGCATGCCTGATCTTGAGACCTGGCAGTAGAGTTTCCTAAGGCTTTGTTTTAAAAGAAGTTATTTTCTTTTGTGTCACTCCGTGTGGACTGTACACAATCAGATGCAGTGCCCCACCTGACAGTGCATGGAATTGCAGAACAGAAATCAAATAGCAAAGGAAAAATTGGAAAGATAAGATTCTAACAAATTGCTCTGAAGTAATTCAAGGGAAACAGTAGATTTATAGAACAGGTGAAATGGCATATTTTTAATTCTGTTGAGCTATTTAACTGCAGAGATATTGGAAAAAATTAATTGGGTAACATAAGTGATAATCTATAAAGCTAGTTAACTGGGTTCAGATATATCACAAATATGTTTGTTCTTAATCATGTTTTTAATAACATGGGCAACTGGAAGACTACTGGAAAAATATTCTATTTCATCTGTAAAAATACGTCTTTCATCTAACTGAAACATGTGACCAGTGGATTTTAAAAAGTGTGCATATGATAACTACAGTGAGATTCCTAAACCCCGTCCAAAATGTCACACTTATGCGTTGTTTGATTAACTTTATTTCATTCTAAAGATATCACAGATTTGGGAATAAAAATAAATTTTGTTTTCTGCGTGATATTCTGAAGTTCAAGTTTATCTTGACAGTTCAAAATGAAAATCGGTTGTATCATGAAATGCTTTTGTGCCAGTGACTGGCAAAACTGAACTGAAACACTGAAATTAAACTTTATAGTGCCAGCTCTGACTGCTAATTCATGTTTCAATACATGAGAAATGATTTCTGGAGAAACCCTCTGAGCAGCACTCTGTTCCTATCAAGTAAAGCAATCATGTTGCCTTTTTGCAGCCCCTGCTGATAAGGGTCTTCATAACACACTGAGCTGATGATACGCTCAAAATATATCTCACCCAAAGTTGGGACAGACAACAGATGTGTTTATACTTCAGGCTGGAAATTAACTTCATGTTTGAGACTGTATCCACATAAGGGGCTAATCTGACTTGGATCAGAGCATGGTAGAGATTTCTGTTTATTACTTGAATATTGTAACGTATTAATAAAGGAGAGCTAGTCAGTTTATCATATTGAAGAGGAAAGCTGAGTTTGAAATGGGATGGAATAGTGATTTTTCTCTTAACAGAATCTTTACAGTTGAAGGGCAGATCTCCAGAACAGTAAGATCAGTGGAGAAGAGTAAGAACAACTTTCTAGGAAGAATTCCTAACATAATTAACAAGGCTTATAAATTATAGACTTTCTCAGCTGCAAAATGAAAGTGTGCCTGAGTTTAAGCTAGCTAAAAATTAATTAACAACGTCAATAGAGATTAGTAACCTGGGCAGAAGTCAAGATGATTTCAAGCTCAGGGGTTTTTTGTGAGGCTACTTGCATGCTACCTGTACTGCCATACTTTCACTGCTGTTATCTGTGCTAGTAAAATTAGAGCTAGCATAGCAATGTCATGGTATAGTAGCTGTCATTGTAAAATAGCATTTTTGTTTAGATGTACCATCAGAATAGAGTGGAATTGTGCTGCAGGCCATTCAGTCTTCTGAACGGAATGTTGTATTTTAGTCCAGCTGTTTTGCATAACTTCTGGTCCTGTGCAACCTGAAAAAAAAAAAAACCAGGAAAAAATTGAGATTAAAGGTGTTAATAGCTGGGTTTTTTCTATTTAGTGAAACACATTTTTAAGCATTTTCAGCAAAATATTAAGAAGGTGATACCCCTAAAATCAGATTTTTCTAACAATGTCAATGCCGTAGGCTAGATGTATATTTTTGGGAGAGACTAAAGGACTGGTAGATGTAACTGTGTATATATACACACTTTTCAGGGAGATACATATGTACATATGTTTAGGTTTACACAGATTCTTTTACCTATTGTAACATCCATTGTGTTGTTAATGAAAAGGGTGAGAAGAACTGTCTAGGCATGTATTGCTAGATCAGTTGTGGACCTTCAAGTTTCTCTGTTCCTTTTCCCATCTTTTAGGTCATTTAATTATTTCAACTCTATAAGTTTTATGTGGATTTTGTTCAATGTGTATGTTCTGTCCACACACACACCCCCGAAGTGCCTTGTGTAGTTAGGGCTGATCGATGATGACAGAATCCGTAGCCTTCCCCCTTCTTTACTTCTAGTGCATAGTCTGTCCATAGAAGGCTGTAGAGAAAAAGCTTACATACACAGGATATTCCTTGTAAATTAAATTGATTTCAAAATTCCTGTAAATAGAGCATACTTAATATCCAAACTGTACTTTAAATGCATTTGACCTAGTTGTCTTTCATAGTTTTCTTGAAATTGTAATAGACAATGTGAGATGCACAGTGGTATGTATACTTCTAAACTGAAAACTTCCTTTTCCCTTCTTTCTAGCCATTTCAGTCAAGGCAGAAGCATCTGACTTTGGAGGAACTGTTTGGAACCTCTGTACCAAAGGAACAGCCAGCAGCTCCGTATCCCAATACAGAGAGAATGGAGAAGTTGCAGACTGACAGCTCTGCCAGAGAGCAGCACAGTTTGCTCTTGCCTTTTTCCTTTGACCAGTCAACAGTAATACAACAATCACTAGGGAAATCTGAAAGTCCAAGCATTAAAAGCAGTGCCAATCCTTTGAATCAGCAGGAATGTTTAACACCTATGCTAATACCTCCAGCTTCAGTTTCCCAGCCTGATACAAAAAATGTTTCAAGCTATTCAGTTCGTTTAAGCCCTATTCTTAATTCAGCCTCGACAGTGGAAGCTGCCCCTGCTCAGTTGCTTCCTGGCCTAAAACAAAACAACAGTATAATGCAAGTTATGCAGCAAGCTGCCAAGCAGATATCCCCACTAGTGAATCAGCCGCCATCTGAAGTGAACCACGCTCCACAAAATCTAATGGCTGGCCAAAGCCAGCTTATAGCACCCTTGACATCAACAAATACGGGAACTGTCTCAAATACATCACATACAAGTGTTGATCTTCTCCAGAAACTCAGGTTGACCCCACAGCATGACCAAATGCAACAGCAGTCTCTCACTAAGACTTCCTTAACACCAAACACCTCTGCCTCGGTTGGCCAACTTGCAACACCAGAAAGCTTCAAAGAATCTCACAGTAAACCATCAACCTTGAACAGCAAGATAATATCTCCCCTTCAGGTATTCTGTGGGTTTTTATATCCATGAAGCTTTAGATGGTTTTTAAACTACATGTATTTTGCCTTGGAAAATGTGCTGTTATATATTAGCCTTCTAAAAATAATTGAGGACTTTCACTGTGTGATATTGATTGAATTGCTAACTTAGAAATATGATTCCATTAGTTCTTTATCATTAGCATCTGCTATCAGTGACAGACCTGTCTGTAGAGGAGGAGGTTTTTCAGTGATGATCTGGGAAGGGACAGAGGGTTACAGGCTGATCAGTGTTATGAGAGTTGATGCTGTGGAAGTCAAGCCTGTACCTCCTTTGAAGGTACAAAATTAACAATTTCTTGTTTCTGGTTAGTTTGCTTTGGATGTTTTGTACTCCTTCAATTTTGCCCACCTTCTGCTGGGAATACCTGTGGGCTACATTGAGATATTGTTATTTAGTAAAATGGATCGTAAACTGATTTATTTTGTCTAATTGACAGCCTTGGTTTGTTTTATCGTAGTATCACTTACAAAGGACCTCTTGAACTTTATGTTTCTTGGAGGAGAATCTGTTGTCTATACCTTAACAGATTTCCTGCTTTGACTTACATTTTGAGAGACTAGGTGAAAATGTCACTGCTAGTCTGTAAGGTTAATGCGTGTGGCTTTGTGTTATAAATTATTTTCTATCAATTAGTGTTGCTCTGATGTATAATTGGCTGCCTCAGTAGTAAAGACATTAATGAGTTTGGGTTATTGGATTTCTTTTTTCTCCAAAGGGAGTAACTTTCTGTAGTGCCCACCTCAGAGGTTATCCAAAGACTTCTCTTCGTTTTGTTGCATTATTATTTTATTTTATTTACATTCATGCAGACTAAGCCAGTGTTTGATCATGTATTCTTGCATCTTGGGTACAGTGATAATGCAAGAATAAAAAACACCAAACAAAACTACTTACGGCTACATCTGCATGAATTTCCTAATGTTTATTATTATCTAGTGCTTACCACTGGGTTTTAACAAGATCTTTGGTAGCCCTGGTAGTTCTAACAAGATCTTTGCTATGAATATGGTTGATGACTTACTCATAACAGAGATCTAATCAAAAGCTCAACTCTTCAGCCTGTAACTCATCCTAAGCATTATTTTAGAATACCCTGTGTTTTTCAAGTGTTGCTTTTCTGTCCTCAGAAGAGTTATCCCTGTCTTAATGTTGAAGAAATGGCTGTGTTTTCATTGTGCTGTCTTTCTAATTGTTATTTCTAATCTACTGCTGTTGACAATTTTCAAGAAGGCTATGAGTGCTACATGCTAGGAGTATTTTACTAGCAATCACCTTTTTGAGATGTTTGGACTGATTGATTTTGTAGAGGGAGGAGGAGGTCCAAGTACAGCATTGAGCAGCTGTCTTGATCTAGTACTGAAGAACTGTACATTCAGAGCAGTATTTTTCTTTTGTGTACTACTAAACCTTGGTACAGATTTGACTGAAGATTGTGACATCTTTGAGCATTTAGAAAAGCTGGCTGGGTTTATTTATAACTGCCCTTGACTGCATTTATTCAACATCTGCTTGATAGCCTTGGGAATTAACTCTTCATATGCCAGTCTTATACCCTTTTTTCCTTGTACTATGTCCACTGTGTGTACATAGTTTCATTAGACAAAATTCTCCATAGTCCAAATATACTCTCAAACTAGCAAAAGACTTCTTAACTCTTGTGTAATTAGACTGTAAGAATTTGATCTTGTGCTTGTAAACACTTCATAAAGCTAATTTTATTTTGTCGTTAAGGACTATCGATTCCCTGAGTGCATTGCAGTTCAAGTAAGCTAAGTACTGTCTCTTGTGAAGGGTTTTTTCCTGTTCTATGTTGCCTCTTGTATTCCAAATGGCTATAACAAGCCTTTTGAAGAATGGCATAGGAATTTACTAAAGTACCTTGTCTACATGCCTTTTATTGTGTCTTCTAATATTTTCTAATACTTGAATTTTATTGTATTACAGTCTTGAAATCTGACTAAAGAAATATGTGGATGCTGTTTGTAAAGGTATAAAATACTTCTGAAATTCTAGCAGAAAACAGCATTTAATTTTTGTGGAGGTGATTAGATAAAACTCCTAGAAAAAAAATACTGAATTTAACCTTTCTGGCAATTACAAGGTACTGAGCTCTTCACTTTGTAGCATTTGTTTTGTTCCCAGCTTCAGTGTTTTAATGTTTAGACTTCTTTTTTAACTGTAGTGGTTAAAACTTCAGAAGTGTTTTGTCATGGCTTTACAGGTTTGCTGTGATATTGCAAGCTTAAAACATAAATTCAAATCTTTCCTCTTTTTCCAACTTCCTGTTGATTATATCAGTTTTACAAAATGGATCAAATTACATTTAAAATCTGTTGAAATGTGCATTTTTGTGCTTTCGTAAAAACAGAGAACCACCACTGGAAATTGAGCTGTAGATGCTAACTTGTGAATTATACTTTCTTTTTAATTTAGACTGTACAACAAAACAAGGAATCTGAAGTATTTCCACAGCAGAAGACTTTGTCTAAAGCAAGTCAAGTAAGTGAATAAGTACCTCTGCTAATTGGTTGTTGTTTTTCTTAAAAAGAAAAAAAAGGGGGGGGGGGGGCTAAACTGGAAGCAGTACTAATGCTATAGTATTGCAGTCAGGTCTATTAGCCTTAGCCCAACCTTAAGTACCCCAGAGGCATAAAATGCAATCCTTGCCTTACTGTCTCTTTCAGTTTTCCTGAGGTACCTTGTGTTTTATGAAAAAGATACCAAGCAAAAAAAATGGAAGATAGAGGAAGAAAATAATAATAAGCATTTGTTACTGCAAAACTTCTTAATAGCTAGTTTTAGTGATCTAAATACAGATTTAACATTATTAGAACTGCCTTTGAATAATAGCTCAAAATAATGCCAGTACAAAATTTCAAGTTGCAGTTAAAAAAAAACCTGGTAATAGTCAAGTCTTCAAGAATTGTTTTTAATTACCTTTTTTTGTTACGTATTCTTTTCAGGATACCATCTGTAATTTAGTTCTACTTTTCCTTTACCCACCCCCTCCTTTTTCAAATTCATTAAATTGGCTCATTCTTGTCCAACTTGCAGTACATAAAAGTAGTTTTAGTAGCATGCCCAGATCTGATTGTGAAGGCAGTAAAAATGGTCCTGCTTAAAGTAAAATGCTGTTTTAGCTACTGGCCTGCTGTAAGACAAGCTATGCAGTCTATTCATGACACAGTAAATAACTATCTAAATAAAATCATTTTGCATTGATTTTGGAATTTTAAGAAAAGTGTGCATGTTGTGTGGTAAACTGCATTTGTTGGTTTAAACACGTCTTCAGCTGAAATCCCACACTGCAAGTCTTCACATTTTAGATTACAACAAAATCAATTTGCAAGTTCTACTGTTGTTGATGTTGTTATATACTCATTAACTTTAGATGGCTTTGCAGTTTTTCTTCTGCTGAAGATTTTTGATTATCCAAGGGGAACTCTTTCTGCTGACGTATCAAACTATTTTACACATCACATTTAGTCTTGCTTTCTTTTGAGTGAGATTGGCTTGTTTATTTTCTTTTTTCTCACCATGCTGGTCATTCTGGAAGCCTGAGCAAGATATAGATTATCATACTGAATAATAATTGCAGTTATCAGGAGGTAATGTCAGAGTTGCACAGAGCTGATGTTTATTCACATCCACTTTTATGCAAATAAAATATTCCTATACATTTGCAATTTATGTTTAAAAGGAAGAGTGGTAAAGGCAGTGTGTGGATTTCTGTAATGAAATGGACACAGACCTGTGGAAGAATGAGGTGGGAACATGGTCCTCAAAATAGTCCCGTCCCTCCTTCCTCCAAGGGAAAATGTACTTAGAATGAGAGTATTTCAGTATACTCCAATGTTTTAATTACATTATTGGTCATTTTAAATATCTTTGAGATACTTTACTTCAAATTATAAGTGTATTTGTTGGTGACCATAGAAGCCGGGGGGAGAAGCAGGACTAGCCTTTCTGTAAACTCCTAAGGAAAATAATAATTTGCAAAACAACTACAGGCTCCTTTGATTACCTAGGTGAAAAGCTCATCTTTTATTCTGTGTGTTATGTTCAAAAAATTCTGAAACGTAGCCATACAAGAATATTGAAGACTGTTACCTTCTTCAGCTTTTAAAATGAGAATTGCTATTGATATTAATCTTAATAGGTAGATATTTCTTTATTAAAAGCAGCTAGTTTGTAGTATCAGACTGAATAATAGTGGCTACGATTTTTTTTTTTCACGCTTATCTCTCCAGCCTTTATAACAGTATTCATTCTTGCTGGACATGGTGCTTATTAATTTTCTGTTCTTTTACAGGTTGCAACTCCACAGTTTGTTACAGCCCCAACTACAGTAACGCCTTCAATCCTCTTGTCTCCTAGTGTTTTTCAGCAATCAGCTACAAAAGCTGCTGAAGTGGAGAATAAAGCCAATTCTTCTTCGCCTTTAACACTTGGAACAACAGAAATTCAGACTATACCTCCTACTGTTCTCAGTAGGTCTCAGCTTCAAGAAGCACTGATACATCTAATAAAGGTCCTGTCTTTACAGAGCTCAATTTCTGAGGGATGGGGTTCCAAGTACAGTAGCCAGTACTGAGAGATTCTGTACCCTTGTAACTCCTTTTGCCCTGAAACATTACAGAAGTTGTTCCCTTTCTGCTGGAAGGGGTAGATTACTCCACACTGTACTCGCAGTATGGCGCAGCTTGCTCCTTTTGGTTGCAAGGTGGAGGACTTAGAACGACAGCCATACATCGGATGTGTCCTTTCACATCCATACGAATTTGTGGACAAGTAAGGAAAAAGTTGCACTAGTAGAAGCCCTGGTATGGGGATAGGGGGCATTGGTTTTGTTGTCTTTGTAAGTGTTCCTGCTTTTCCAAGGAAAGGTTTCCTATTTCCAGTTCCCTAGAACTGTTCCTGATCTTTAACTGAAGTATGTGTCTTTGAAATGGAAATTGCAAAGTTCTAGTTCTGCTATTTCTAGGGACTAAAAAGTTCAGTTGAATTAAATCTGTGATGTCGCGAGTAACCATGCAGTGACACCATTTTGACCTCTAATGCCATGGTGAAGTTGCCATGAATGACAAACCATTCTTTGTTAACTCAGGATTCTCTTCCCCCCTCCATGCTGATGTTAGTAGAGCTCTCACTCAGAAAGCAAGTCTAAAAATAGCAAATAGTATCTTCCCAGTGATAAAGTTACTAGGACCAAAAAGGGCCGCTACCAGATCACATCATCAACCAGATTGCCTGATTTATCTATGTTGTTCTTTTTTTTTTTTTTTTGGATAATGTTCTTGTGTATTGGTGCGTATGGGTTTTTCTCTTTAAAGACTTAAACTAGCTTACTTGTAAGTCTTGCAACTGAGCTCAACTGCCAGAAGTCTTATTCTCGTTAGAGACATAGCGCACTGATTCTCGCCCAGTGGTCTGAAGAACATCATTGTGGTGACTTCAGAGAGCTGGTCGGAATATTTGTCTCTAATCTTCTCTTTATGTAAAGAGAGCTGAATGAAGACCAAAGTAGGCATGGGAGTACTTGCACAACACTCCAAGCAGGATACCAAATTTGCTATGCAGATCTTGTAAAAAGACTATTACATCTTCAAGCCAGATGATTAGATACTAGTTTTGTAAACTTGTCATTTGAAGGAATTAGACTCAGGAAATATCTCTAAATATTGTCTATAGATTAAATTAATTCACTTCCCAGTAATGCTTTGATATGAAAATTCTGCAGTCCTTTTCAGGCTGGTCTGACAGAAGTAACATTATTTCTGACACTCATGCAGACTTTATTTGGGAGCCTGTACACAGGATGGAATTCTCTGTGTCTAAGACTAAGTTTTGGACTCTGGAGGGAGGTAAATTATGTGGCCAAGGCTGACCTAGTGACCCCTGTTTTGTTTGTTTGAGCATCTGGTGTGCTTAGTGATCCCTTTAGTTATCTTACCAGCTTCATGGTTCGAAGTCTGTATGTTGTCCAAAAAGCATTGCCTTTTGTACAAGTACACAGCTAGTTCCCTTCTCTTAACTTGCAGATAGCTAGCACTATAAGGAATCCTTATGCACAACTTAAATGGCATTAAATTACTTTTTTTTTTGCATCTTTTTACTAATGTTTCTAATTTTTTTTTTCCTGCAGAATGATTCCCATTTTCTCAGCACTATTCATGAAGTCTACTTGCAAGTCCTAACCAAGAATACAGACAACATTAAGCTATAATTGAAGCTAAATCTACTTAAAATATATCCATTTTAGAAACAATTATGCCTCGTCTATAAAACTAATATTTTTGTAAAAGAATATTTAGTTTTCAATTTCTTGAATTTGAACCTGTTAGGAAAGACTATTCCTTAGATGCTTATGAAAGTAATGTTCTCAGAATTGATCTAGGTTTTCACTGTGATCATCACCAGCAAACCTTTGTTTTTATTGGGGAGGGGACTTAAGTTGCATTTGAGCTCTCATTAGCATTAAGTGAATGTGCAAATGTTTGCTCTGGCTTTCATTCCTAGCTGTATTCACTGTTCAAGTATTACAGACTCAATACTATTTAAACCAGCAAATACATAGTACAGTACACTACACCACACCAAAACAAAATTCAGTTGTGGGAACCTAGTTCCGGTTTGAAGGACTGAGGAAAAGGAGAGCAAAATGCCTTGTGATTATGTTGGCAGGTGTGGGGAAGGAACGGATCTGGAAGCCAGGCCTTTGGAGCTAAATCTTTGACAAAAGGTTTAAAAATGTGATTTGCTGAATACACTGACAGTCTGTAGCTAAGGCATGTAAATTCATCTTTTAAATATTCCATTAATCTTATTTGCTTCTGTGTCGCTGACATTAAACAGTTGTCCAAGTGAGTAAGGCCATTTTCTCTAAAAACACGAAATTTGAAATACGCAAAATTCTCAGTGATTGTATCATTATGGTATTTTTAAGCAGCAGAGTAGTTCTGTTGCGTGCTGAAATTCTCTTGTTTTAAGTTAAGAGACCATCACTGGAAGACCCTCTTCCTGTTCCGCAGCATTTGATATGATTTAAATACTTTGTTTCCCTTTTAGCTTAAGGACGGACCTTGTCATAGTTGGCTTTCATTCCTCAGTTGCGTTGGAACTGCAGTGTTGAAAACTATGCAGATATGGAACAAATGCATGCCTTTCTTCTGTTACCCTCTCCCCAAATTGTTAGTGCACACTTCATAGTCTGAAGTTTATCTAATTAAAATGTTATCGCTTCTTATATGTGATTTAGTAATTCACTAGTCACTAATGTAAGAATTTAACTAGGTACTTTCCCATTTGAAATCAGAAAAATTCTTATTATAGTTTCTTATGCTGCTGTGTTGGTTTACCCATGGCTTGTATTTTATTTCTGAAAGGCATGCAAAGGTAATTAATAAGACTTCAGGTCCCAAGTTTCTCCAGCAATAGTAGTTTTAAAGGGTGCTTTTCCAGTAGAAAAGTTTTTGTTTATTGAGTAAAAAGATAATCTGTAGTGAGTTATGATGCACTGCTTCTTTCTTTTCCCTTAAGCACTATTGAAATATGAAGAAAAAAATTGTTTGGCTCCTTACAATGTATATGTATGTATATATATCCTAAGGATTAGTTAATGTTGACGTAGTCAAGGTGCATGGTCATTTCATTGGAAACTAGTAATTGAGCTTTAATTGTGACTTGTTCACAAATCGGTATGTTTTAGATACAACAAATATTTACATTTTAATGTATTTGATCTATTTTAGGTTTTTCATAGCTTTTTAGTGGAAAATATATTTTGTTTAGCACTACCTGCCTTCTGAAAAGCTCTTCTCAGCCTTTGAGTTCAGTGTTTCCAGCCAAAATATATAGTATTTTATTAGAAAAATGTGCAGGATTCAGGGAAAGATGCTAATGTCATGCACATTCATCAAGAAAATACATTTGGCTTTAATGGTAGCATTTGAATTCAGCAATATAGACTCAGCCTTGTTAAGGATGATAGGAGCTTCCTACATAAATTCTAGAGTTACAATACTGTGTATGCACAGAAACAATGAGACTCAAATTAGATCTGAGGTCTAAACTAATTTGTTGCGTTTTTTAGAAAAAGTTTCACTTCAAGGGACAAACCAATGAGCAGTTCCTCTGAACAAAAATGGATAGCCTAAACCAAATAGAGAGTTGCTTTTTATCTGGATTTAGCAAAGAGGAAGTCCATAACTTCTCACTTCTTACAGACAGCTTCCCGTTCCTTCAAAGGAAGATTTGATAAAAGTTTCTAAGAATAGAAATACTGGAAGCTGATGGCGCATATTTGTACTGTTTGCTAAATACAGTCATATCCAAAGATCTATAGAAATGATAGGAATGAGTTGTATTTTGAGTTCTTCAGTCACATACAGTTGACAAAAGTAATACTGTTTAGAGTAGCAGTGCTGTTATGAGAGTTTGACTGTACTTTGAATATCCTTAACTTGTTTCCAGCTGTCCAGGAACCCCCACAAGCAGTTGGCAGATCCTTACTTTACTTTGGTTTTGTAGTGTACTAGTAGCCCAACGTTACTGGTTTACTTTTTCCCCCCAACCTTCAAAATGAATGGGAAGAGAAACACAGTTGAAATCGTAGTTACTAGGCAGGCATTTTTACAACAAGCAAACCTGTTCACCTTGAACACTTGCACATACTTGTTCTAACCTCTCTACATATAGCCAACAGACACTGGAACCAACCTAGGTGTCATTCAGTACACCACAGATTTATGACAAGTGCTGGGTAGTGGGTTTAACAGATAAACCTCTTCAAAGAAAAGTTGGATTCTAAAACACAAGCTCAACTACAGTGTAAAATTGGAATTTTTTTTTTATGTGGACTGTATTTATTTAACAACTTTTTTCCTGATTATTTTAATTTGTTGTATGAACTTACCAGCTTGTCGAAGTGCTTGATTCATGTTATCCGCATGTAGGGATAACTAGTGTGTAGCAAGTTACCATGGGTCATCACAGGAAATTATTGTGACCATTTTCAAGTAATTTTTTTTTTTTAAAACTACTGGCTTAATGGGATTTTACCTGTTAGTTCTGAGAATTAAAAGATTATTAGTTTAGACTATACTCCCCAAATTAATTTTACTATCTAAGCATGTGTTTTGTGGCTAGCATTAAGTCACTTCAAAAAAACAAAAAAAAAAAAAAACAAAAAAAAAACAAACAAAAACCTCAAACCTAATCAAAGACAGTTTTAAAACCTACAGCTGCTGAATTGTTCAGGAAAATCAAAACTCTCAGTTTTGTAGTTAGACTTTATCTGCTGTTATTTAACAATGCAAAGTTTATATGAAAGGTGCCTAACAGCTATTAACTTAGAAGCAGTATATCTTTCCAAATTAAACAAGATTTGCAGAATGGTTGAATAAAGTTTAACAAAAAAAGTAAGTGATTCATCTTGATTTCATATAAAAAGTTTAATTCTGTGTATAAATACTCAATATTTAAACACTTGCTGCTGGATGTCTCTCATTTTTGCTTGCATTTCTAATTGTTTCATTTTTGGTATATTTCTGAAACCCATTATGCCATCTGTAGTCACTGATAATTTCTGAAATATTTTTGAAAGCAAACTTTAATTTGGGACTTCTTGTTTTTAAAAGTGTTCTAAATGAATTGGCCACCTTTTTGCCAGGTATTTGGGTTGCTTTGTACAGCATATCTTAACAGGAGGAATGTGTGCAATATATATCACCTCAGTTTTGTCTGGCAACATTACGAAAATGTTAAGATGCAATATCTTCCTTTCACTTCAAGTTGGAAAAATTGCAGTATCTCAATTTGGTGGTGTATTTATTTTTATCTATTCAGTGTATGGGCTTATGGGTAGTTAGGTTTTTTTTATGTACATTATGTGCTTTTAGTAATTTCTGAGTTTTATCACTTTTGTGGATGCACCAGTTGTACCCATTTGCATGTTCTTTCAATATGAAGACCATGGGGGAGGGGGGCTTCAGGAAAGATTTTTGGAAACCGGAATGAGAATAATTGTAAGTCAATAAATATAGATACTGCATCATTAACGTTTTTGGTATGGTATGGATTTTATAGCACCTATGTATGTTTGCAGTTATTAAGTTATTGCATAAATGTTTAAGAATGAGCATTTTTTCATCCAAGATTTTGTATGTTTGCAAATATATTTTTGTAATAAAACTTCAAAACAAATGTTTCGGCACCTCCTAAAATCTTCCAATGTTTCCTTTTATTTCTAGAGCTCTAGTAGCCTGCTAGAAGGGTAAGTGCAGATTTTATTTAGGGTTGATATTTTCCAGAGAAGAAACTCAAACTCCTTACTTCATACTGGGGTCAAAAATAAATTGCATTTGTTCACTAAAGAAAATGCAGCATGCCTGTTTGAAGGACAGTTGAGAATAGCATCTGTCACTTGTAACAGCTTTTGGCTATTCTCTGTGTTGCTGTAAGTAGGCTTGCATTTTGAATGTGATAGACCAATTTCCTGTCATATTAAGAAAGGCAGCTGGAAGTTCACTTTCTTGTAAGTACAGCTGTAACTGGTTTTAGTGCCTTTCCTTATCACTTTTTTATGGTATCCCCTCTCATCCATCTAAACATGGCATATGATACTCAATCCAGTGTTGGTCTCTGATCATTGACGTTGGAAATTGCAGTTGTCGTCTTACCATATCTGACTGATATGATGCAATGGATCAATCCAAACTTAAAGTAAAATAGGGAAGCTGATGAGGAGGAAAACCATAGCAGAAGTTCTGCTGGATAAGATCTTGAAATTAAACAAAACCTTATGCTGAAGTCCCTTTATCTTAGCTAGATGCTTCTTCCCATTCTAACTACCCATAGGAGTTAAGATTGCAGGGCATACCAAGTGTCGGGAGAGGCCACTGAATAATGGTGTTTGCTGCTGTAGTAGTTAAGACTGAACTGGCACCTGTACTATATACAAAAGCAGATTCTTGTAATAGAAGACTACCATACAAAAGTCATGGATTTACTGCAAGATAATTGAGGAAAAAGTGGAAACAGCTGAGGCCTAGAATCTAACTTTAGATTCTGTGTTAGATGTGTTGCCTGTTTGGCCAGTATTGAGGCAGTATGTTTTTCATTGTTGATGCTGTAACCTTTTTGTCTTCTCTGGATCCAGGTATTCCTGGTTACTGTTACTCCTGTGAAGTGCTCCCCTTTGGTTTGAAAATAAGATAATACTTCTGA